TCTCCTCCTCCTCCTCCTCCTCCTCCTCCTCCTCCTCCCCCCTTCTTCTTCTTCTTCTTCTTTTTCCCCTTCTCCTCTCCCCCTTCTTTCTTTCTTTTTTTTTTTTTAGACGGAGTTTCACTCATTACCCAGGCTGGAGTGCAATGGCGGGATCTTGGCTCACCGCAACCTCCGCCTCCTGGGTTCAGGCAATTCTCCTGCCTCAGCCTCCTGAGTAGATGGGATTACAGGCACGCGCCACCATGCCCAGCTAATGTTTTGTATTTTTAGTAGAGACGGGGTTTCACCATGTTGACCAGGATGGTCTTGATCTCTTGACCTCGTGATCCACCCACCTCGGCCTCCCAGAGTGCTGGGATTATAGGCGTGAGCCACCGCGCCCAAACCAGGAGGGAGAAACTTGAGAGAATGACTTTGCCTGTCTTCTCCAACTCTCCCTTTCGTTTTTATAGAGTATTTGCTAGATTGTAGTATTGTGATCACGGCTCACTGCAGCCTTGACCTCCTGGGCTAAAGTGATCCTTTCATTCAGCCTCCCCAGTAGCTGGGACTGCAAGTGCACACCACCACACCCAGCTAATTTTTTCAATTTTTTCGATTTTTTTTTTTTTTTAGTGGTGGGTTATCACTCTATTGCCCAGGCTGGTCTTGAACTTCTGGGCCCAATCGTCCTTCCACCCCAGGTTTCCAGAGTGTTGAGATTATAGGTGTGAGCCACCACACCCGGCCTAGTATTTCTCTATATTGATAGGCCTTTTGGGTCCAACCACAGGTAAGTTTAGTTGCTAAGTCTCTTCTAATACCTGTTTAGAACTTACACCTAGGTTGTGAAAGAAGACCAAGGGTTCTCTTATATTAATAACATGCTACTAAAATGTAAAACCACCATTCCTCTGTAGTTATGTCTAGAATTTGAGGAACATGATAGCTATGCTTGTTTCTCCCTCATAAAACAAGAGGAATCACCTCTTTGGGGTCTGTTAGGACCATTGTTTTAAGAGTCATGAGGCTGGGCATAGTGGCTCATGCTTATAACCACAGCATTCTGGGAGGCCGAAGTCAGCACATCACCTGAGGTTGGGAGTTCGAGACCAGCCTGACCAACATAGAGAAACCCTTTCTCTACTAAACATAACAAAATTACCTGGGTATGGTGGCGTATACCTGTAATCCCAGCTACTTGGGAGGCTGAGGCAGGAGAATCACTTGAATCTGGAAGGCAGAGGTTGCGGTGAGCTGAGATATGCCAGTGCACTCCAGCCTGGGCAACAAGAACAAGACTCGGTCTTGAAAGAAAAAAAAATTAAATTAAATAGGCCAGGTGAGCTGGCTGTCACCTGTAATCCCAGCACTTTGAGAGGTCAAGGCAGGTGGATCATGAAGTCAGGAGTTCAAGACCAGCCCGACCAATATGGTGAAACCCATTCTCTACTAAAAATACAAAAATTAGCCGTGTGTGCTGGTGGGCGCCTATAGTCCCAGCTGCTCAGGAGGCTGAGACGAGAATTGCTTGAACCCCAGAGACGGAGGTTGCAGTGAGCCAAAATGGCACCACTGCACTCCAGTCTGGGTGACAGAGTGAGACGCTGTCTCTAAATTAAATAGTGAGACTCCGTTTCTAAATAAATAAATAAATAAATCAGTCATGAAAATATCCCTTAAACTTCATTAATCACTATTCTTATTTGGTCTCTATTAGAACATTTTCTTCTTTCAGATTGGTTAACCTGGTTTCCTTCATTTTGCTATTAAATGATAATTGCAGGTATTTATGAAGTGCTTACTATGCTCTTGACAGTTTTCTAATCAGTGAATAGGTGTTACTCATGTAATCCTCACAACAATCCAATGAGGGAAGTACTGATAACCCCATTTTACAGAGGGGGAACCTGAGACACAGAAAAGCTAAGTTGCTTATTTATAGTCACAAAATAAGCAAATATTTAAGGCAGGATATTAGCTAGGCATTCTGACCCCATAGCATGAGTACAATATTTATGCTTTTCAGTATAGAGGTCAGGGTATCAGTATCAACTCTCCCATAATTAAGAACCTATACTAACAAATATCTAAATTCACTTATCCTCCCTTTTTCTGGTTAATCTATTGGCACATTTTTTTGTTCATTAGCACAGGGTAGAAATTAAGGCAGAAGTTAACCATTAAGTTACCAATTTTTGCCATTTATTCTGATGAAAAAATTGTTAGAAAAACAGTTGGATAAAATGAAATGAGTATTATTGGAAGATTGAAATTACTTAAGTTCACCACTATTGATATCACTCTCCTCACTTCTGTTTTTCCCTTTCTTTTTAGCATGGTTAATGAATGTTAGCTGTTGAGGGCTGTTTCTTTATCCAATTTTTAAGTATTCAAAACAGCAACATTCATTCATTCCACCCCAGGCATTCTCCAATTGACAGCAGCTCATCCTCCCTGGGGGAGTTAGGGAAATTGTCTCAAAAACCTAATCTGCTTCTGGCTTGATTAATCAGAACCTTTTCTTTAGTTTGTACTTCAGTGATACCATCCATAATGAGAAGAGACTGTCTTTGTATGCTCATAAAAATGTTTTGAATGAGTAGATCTGACTTCTGTGGTATCATCCTTTTCCTAGAGTATCTGGTGACTCTGTGGCCCTGTCTTTGTTCATTTTCTTCAGCTGAGATGTTTTAATTGGTTAAATAATATCAAGTGGCAAAATTAATTTCAGAAATTTCAAAATTAATTTTAATTCAATTTTTATTTCTTTTCTTTGAGATTGAGTCTTCCTCTGTCACCCAGACTGGAGTGCAGTGGCGCAGTCTCGGCTCACTGCAACCTCTGCCTTCTGGGCTCAAGTGATTCTTGTATCTCAGCCTCCCTAGTAGCTGAGATTACAGGCACCCACTACCATGCCCAGCTAGTTTTTGCATTTTTAGTAGAGATGGGGTTTCACCATGTTGGTCAGGCTGGTCGGAAACTTCTGCCCTCAGGTGATCCGCCTGCTTTAGCCTCCCAAAGTGCTGAGATTATAGGCGTGAGCTACTGTACCCAGCCTAATTCAGTCTTCTAATGAATGTCTTTGTACTCTAGTGTCATTGGTAACAATAATAATCTGTCTTTGATATGGAGATTTTAAAAAAAAATTTTACTACCCCAGAACCTAAAGTACAATTAAAAAAAAATTTATTAATAGATTTTTTTTTTTGAGACAGAATCTTGCTGTGTCACCCAGGCTGGAATATAGTGGAGCAAGCTCGGCTCACTGCAAACTCCACCTCCCGAGTTTAAGTGATTCTTCTGCCTCAGCCTCCCGAGTAGCTGGGAATACAGGCACACGACACCATGCCCGGCTAATTTTTGTATTTTTAGTAGAGATGGGGTTTTGCCATGTTGGCCAGGCTGGTTTCAAACTCCTGACCTCAGGTGATCCACCCGCCTCGGCTTCCCAAAGTGCTGGGATTACAAGCGTGAACTACCTCACCTGACCTAGACTTTATTTTTTATTCATAATTTTAGATTTATGGAAAAATTTAGCAGATAGTACAAAAAGTTCCTATTTATCCCCCCTCCTGCTCAGTTTCCCCTGTTACTAACGTCTTAACGTTAGTATATTATACTTGTTACAATTCATGAACCAGTATTAGTATGTTATTATTAACTAAGTCCATAATTTATTTGGATATGCTGTGTTTTTATATGATGTCCTTGTTCTGTTCCAGGATCCCATCCAGGATACCACATTATATTTAGTTATCTTGTCCCCTTAGGCTCT